AAGCTCTTTAGATTTAGGCTTGACCTGTCTAAGGACATAGATAGGAATCTAGATGTGTTTAACAAGCTTATTCAGAATATTAAGCAAGCTGGTGATAAACACATAGATGACTACACACCCATATTTAACAAGCTTATTCAGAAAATTTCTGGATCCGCAAAATTTGACAATGAGTTATAGAAAAAAATGACTAATAGCGTAGTCAAGAACAAAGGTCAGGGTAAATTGGTACAAAGATTATTTTTAGATAAATTTTACACTAAAAATACATACTATCGTATAATTTTAAAATTTGGGGTGTGTTGAGCCCGTTTGGTGATAGGCTCGTTCCGTTCCTAACTTTTCACCCATATTTTGGGTGTTAGTTGTCTAATTTTTATAATTAATCGGGTGACTATTGGGGGGTTTGAGTGAAAATTTGTCATTTTTCGGTCCCGGTGGCATTCATTTTTAGGGTAGTACTTTTGTACAAATTTTGACATTTTTGGAGTAATTTGATTGTAAAGTTACATATTATTAGCTGTGTGGCGAGTTGTGATTATTATAGGCTGAATTTGTGGTGAATTGTTTGGGCCGGATCATTTGAGTTGTGTTAAAAGTTATTGAGTGTAGCCAAAAGAAAAAAGAAAAAAAAAACAGAAGCAATGTTAGCAGCCCAAAAAGAAGAAAAAAAAGATCAGCTGAGGTTTTTTTCCCAGGATAGCAGCCGCACCGATTCATTCATTCATTCCTACCAAAGCCATCACCGTTTTTTTTCGTCTCCTTTTGATTCGAAGCAAGACCAGCCGCAGTAGTAGCTGTTTTCTTCAGAATTAGCTGCAGCAGTTTTTCAATTCTTTCCATTTTTTGTCAAGTAGCCACACGAGCAGCAGATGAGGAGTTCGTATGTTTTATCTGTTCACTTGGCTGCAGCAGTAGCAATCAAGAAGAGTTAGAAGCAATTGTTTTTTTCTTCCATTCCTGGAACTGCCGCAACAACAAGAAAGAACTCAGAGAATGCCTAATGTTTCTGTTTCTCATTTCCTTTCATTCAATTTAGTCTTTTGAGCAAGATTTGTAAGTTTACTCATCATTTGCAACTTTAGTTTTCGAATTAGTAATTTCAGATTTTCCTATCAAATACTCATTATTCAGTTTCTATTTCTAGCTCCATATCATGCTAATCGATATTATTGTGATGTTAATTTTAATTATGAGTAGTTAATTTCATATAGGGTATGAATTGGGGCTAGGGTTCATGGATTTTGAGGGTGTGAATTTAGTTTTTTGAAATTCAATTAATTTTCTGGAAAATAGTATAAGATTAATCATAATTGCCTGTATGAATTTGATCACCTCATATATGAATTTCTGGATTTAATTCAATTCTTGTCTATGACAAATTGAGTTAAATTAGCTTAAATCTTATACAAGGAATCTGATCTTAGAAATAAGTTAGGATTGTGAAAATATGATTTGATTCTTGTCTATGAGAATTTATTTCATTTTTTTTCAGGAACAATTGAAAATCAATATTACTTAATTCTAATCCCGAAAGAACACCCAGAACCCGAACCATCCAATTTGAACCCTCTTTTAATATCTTGAATCACTTTAATTCTTTTCTTACTCTATTTTTTTTTGCACTGGTTGTTAGTTATTATTATTATTATTTTTAAATCACCCAAAAATAATTATTTGGAAAGATTACCATGACTTGTGCTAGCCTATGATCACCGATCGTATTTCTAACTTCCTTTTTGTCTCTCAGGAAAGAGTACGTTTCCCGTTTCGAAATTTCTCGTAAACTCTTTGGAAACTCTCCAAATAAGCTCTTTTTGAGCAAAAGTTGACGTTTTCCGCTTCCCGTTTTCGTGCAACTTATATTGTGTCTGCTTTTATTTCTGTTATTTTTCTCAGTCACATATTTGATCGGGTAATTAATAAATTTGTCCATGTCAAGGACTCAGTGAAAATTTAACTTAATAAAACAAAATGATGATAAAAATGACCTAACTCTCGATAATCCGGTACGGTTTATGACATTGGATTTGAGAAATTTTGATTTGAGAAATGACTGAAATCGCGTTTCATTTTTATTCACTACCTTCAATAAACATATATTTTTCATTAATGATAAATAAAAGGCAAATTCAGTTGAATAAAGAACATCGTAAAGCAAAATAATAAAAAGTTTTTTATATTCCAAAATACTTCCGATCCTTACATGCAATATTTGTTGTTAATATAATGAAGTTTTCACATATCCTGCTCTCAATTAAGTAAGGGGTTATGCCTAAAATAATACTAAAAAAAGAGCTATAGACAAAAAAGGGATCTTTGTTTCAATTTTCCCAAAAAGAGAATAAAAATGGGTTAGGAGACTATTATACCCTTATTTTAATAGAGTCTCACCCAATAGTGCTACAGTAACGGCCACAGTGACCAATAACATTATAGTGACCAAAATTCGCCAGTGACCAAAAATTATTTGTGACCAAAAATCCAAAAATCCGCCAGTGACCAAAATCATTAGTTACCAAAAATTCTACTTAGTTACCAACGTCAACCCGTCAAGTGACTAGTGACCAATCCGACAAGTGACCATGACCAATTCACCTAGTGACCAACCCGATCACTGACTGTGACCAATCCGACCAATGACCAACCCGATTAACGATCGTGACAAATCCGACCAGTGACCAATCTGACCATGACCAATCCGATCGTGACCAATCCGACCAGTGACCATGACCAATTCAATCATCGACCAATTCAAGCATTGACTAATTTTACCAGTGACCAAACTGACTGTGACCAATCCGACCATGACCGGTGACCAAGCCGATAGTGACCATGACCAAATCGACCATTCACCAAAGCGGCCAATGCCGCCCAGACCGTCGCTGCGCCCGACCACCGCCATCACCAACCACCGCCCAACCTGTGACGGATGCCGCTGCACCAGCCCCTTCCCCTGATCCAGCCCCTCCCCTGCCTCAACCCCCACCCCTGCGCCAGCCCCTTCCCCTGCACCAGCCCTCTCCCCTGCCTCAGCCTCCGTCCCCAGCACCTTTCCGATGGTTGGCCATTGGGGATCTCCAGACCAGGCAAAGAAGATGACAGATCCATTCCAGAAAAGAAAAAAACGAAGAAGATGATTACAGATCTGCGGTTATTGGCGACGGCGACGACGGAGACGCAGCTGGTTGGAGATTGTGGAGGTGCAGATCTTTGGTCCGCAGGTCTCTGGTTGCGACGGGGAAATGGAGATGGAGCTGGGCTTTGGTCCGCAGGTCTCTGGCTTTGTCCGCAGGGCAACAAAATGAAGAAGAACACCGTTGCAGACGTGAGTGGAGGCAGCAGGCGCGGGCGACGGCGAGAAGCGGCCCGAATTTGACGTTTGGAGCTCTGGTTGGTGCTGTTGTTGCGCGCATGGGATGAGTTCGCAGAAGAAGGTGAGATGCGTCGTTTGTAGATCTGCCGTTGAAAGGTCCGTTTTTTGTCCGATTAAAAATAGGTCCTAGTTTTGGAAAGTCAGAAGTCCCAAATCCTATTTTAGTCTTTATTTCATTAAGTAATTGAGCATTTGATTCACATCTATAATCTAAGCATTTTTATCTTATTTTAGACACAACCAATTTTTTTATAGAATTAAGTAATTAGCCTTCTTTATAAAGAAACATCTAATTATAAGATCCGATTCACATCTATACCATATTTTTTGTGACTACCTTTTTTGTTATATATTTTCAGCTTCATCAACCAAATATTGCTGCGTTTTTTACATTCAGTTGCATAAGTAATCTTTTCTTTTCCGACTCCTGATTTTTTATGTCAAATTTTGCTGCAAGCTGCTGTTTCTTTCACTCAATCATATATAGGGATTGGATTTTTTTCGTCAAAATACCATCTGATGTAAGTATTTATCATTTGGAACCTTAAGATTACTTTCTAGATAATGGTAATTTAATTGTAATTAAAAAAGTTAATCTTATATTAATAATTGAAAATCTTATATTATAATTGGATATGACCGTGACTACGTCCGTGACTAACAATATAATAGTCATGGTTACATCCGTGACTAATTTATTCCGGCCAACCCACGTTTGCCTCTGGCGGGATTTCTTTTTGAATTTTAAATTAGTCACGGATATACCCGTGACTAATTCCGTGACTAGGTCCAAAAAATAAATTTTCCACCGCCCAAAAGTTAATTCGGACTGGTAGTCACGGATCTGAGCCGTGAATAAGTTTTTAGTCCGGATTTCTTTTTATTTGTTTAAAATTAATTTTGTTTTGAAAAAAAACATAAGTCACGGATTCATGACCGTGACTAATATGAAATTTGAAAAATTTTGAAAATGCAAACCACGGGGTTTTTGAAATTTCAAAATTTAAAACGGTAGTCACGGAAATTGTCGTGACTAAATTGGGCGAATTTAAAAAAAAAAATTAATAGTCACGGACAAAATATAAAAAAAAAAGTAATCACGGATCTTAGCCGTGACTAAAGTGCCGGAGCAGCTATTCCGGTGCGTGGACATGTACAAACTTACCACGACGGCGAGCATGAAAACTCACGATGCTCATGTAATCATGCAAAGACTTCTACCAATTGCACTGAAAGAGATGCTCTCTAAACACGTATGATCCTGCATTACTGAAATCAGTTTGTTGTTTCAGTCGATATGTTCCAGCGTTTTGGATGCGGCATCCCTCCGGAGACTATAAGAGTCTGTTCCCATTCTGATGTGTAATCTGGAAAAGATAATGCCTCCATCGTTTTTCGATGCAATGGAACATCTTATAATACATCTTCCGTATGAGCCTTTGACTGCTGGGCCCGTCTTCTATCGTTGGAAGGTTAGTCACAATTTCATTTAAAAAATGAATATTTGTTTCATAAAAACTGTAATCTGTGTACCACTTTTATTTTACATTGCAGATTTCTAGGAGAGTTGAAAAAGAAAGTGACCAACAAGGCACACGTTCAGGCTTCAATTTGTCAAGCGTATCTTCAACAAGAAATCTCAACGTTCTCGTCTTTTTATTTCGAGCGTGACGTCATCACCAGAAGGAAGAGACCTGCCCGGAACGATGACATTAGCGAGGATTCATATGAAAATGTAGTTTCCATCTTCAATTACCCAGACAGAGGTAAAGGTGCTGCGACATGGCGATACATCTTGGGTGGGGAATTACAAATTGCGCATACTTATATCCTCATGAATTGTCCAGAAATCTTACCATTTTATCTGTAAGTTAAATTTGTAGTTACAATTGTAATACTTATAAATTAAATTTGTAGTTAATTTATAATATTTTTATTTTTGACTTCACAGTGAATTCAGAGCTTCTTTATCAGCCTTTCCTAAGAATGAAATTGATTCAATGGTGGACTCTGATTTTGTAAATTGGTACAAGTATCAGGTATATATATACACATTAATTATATATATTATTACGTAATAATTTGTAATAATTATTAATTATTATCATGTTATATTTTACAGATCAATAGCCGTGGGATTGTCGATCCTCCGTTAGTAGCATTATCGTAGGGCCCAAGTGCCAGTGCCAAAGTGTGGCGGTCATATGTGATAAACGGTTACACATATCACACAGCCGCTTACGGACAGGGTCGACCAACAACGAACAGCGGGTTATGTGTCCCGACCATCGGTTATGATAACTCGGAAACCAATTTTTTTGGTGTGCTGCATGAGATTCTGGAACTTGAAATGCCTTGTGGTGCGCAAAAATTGACATGCGTTCTGTTCCGCTGCAAATGGGTCGATCTCACACGTGGTGTGAGAAAAAATTCGAAGTATAATATGATTGACGTCAAGCACTCTCGTGTGTATGAGAAAAATGAGACTTTCATACTCGCCCAACAAGCAGCGCAGATTTATTATGCAGAATATCCTTCGACAAGGCAGACACAGAATCCTTGGGTGTGTGCATGTACTGTCCGTCCGAACAAAATTATATCACAAACTCAACACAAGGACGTTGATCTAGATGCTTTTCAGCAACAATTTTTCCAACCTCCGCCTATTGTTGAGACGGTCAACTATAACGTCCAATTAAGTGATCCAATTAGCGGACGTGTTGAAGTCATGCCAGAAACACACCTTCCGGACCTAACCATTCCATCTAAGCGCGAAATTGTTGAAATGTATGAAGCACAACAAAACGCTCAATATCAACAAGAAGGTGAATGGATAGACAGTTCAGATACAGAAGAAGATACTGTAGTAGAAAATGAAGATTCTGAGAGCGACTAATTGTGCTGTTGTAATTTTAATTTTGTGAAATAATTACTCCAAGAATATTTGATTTTTTTCTTCATCATTATTGTTTGTGAAATAATTACTCCTTATTCATTCTATCCAAAATAAATTGAAAGCAGTTTATTTAATACTCCAAATTTAACTTTTTTCCATACTATTCCATATTATAAATTCGAAAATTGAAAAACAAACTGAATATTATAAATTCGAAAATTGAAAAATAATTTAAATACTTCGAAATACAAAAAAAATGGAAATTCATAAATAAAACTAATTTACTTTTAATCTGAATATTATAATAATTTGACATTTTAATAAACAACTTACACGAAATTATTTATTAAATTTAAAAGATAAGTACAAAACACACATTTTCTGTTCACACTTCACAATCAACTAACTAACATTATTGATTTATCATAAGCAAACAAACAAACACAGATTTATTCATTCTCTTCAAAGCTTTCAAGAGGCCTAGCCCATAACTCGTTAATTTTTCTTTGAGCTTCTGCGTTTATTGGTTCCACATAGTAATAACATTATTGTGCGCGACAAATCATCCGAGACAAAGTTTTTCCTTTTGACACGCTGATTGAGTCTGATTCCTCATCTTTAATGTCTCCAAAACTTTCAAGGGGTCTAGCCATCAACTCCCTGATTTTCTGCCATGCTTCAACACTTTTCGGTTCCATAAACTGTGTACATAGTTTAAGACGACGCATTCTTCTACGCATCATATCCCAGTCAACTGGTTCCCTATCAGCCATTATTTATGCACAAAATGCTTGGGCCGCAGACACCTTTTTATTAATTGAAAATTCATGGTCCTAGACTCCTAGTCACGGCTATAATCGTGACTACGCTGACGGTGTCAGGGCCGTCATTGACCGGCACAGTCACGGTCAAGTCCGTGACTAATATAATATCGTGACTAAATTCAAATTTTGAATTAGTCACGGCAATAGTCACAGACTTGACCGTGACGGTTCCGGTCAATGACGGCTCTGACCGCCTCGGCTTCCGCGGCCTGACTTTGTTAATTACGAAGCGTTTAGTCACGGTCAGGTCCGTGACTATGACCGTGACTACTTTTTATATATAACCAACACTTAGGTTTTTTTTTTTCAAATCTACCTCTCCTCCCTTAAACCCTACCGCGGCCAATACCTATTTCCTCTCTTCCTCTCCCTTCTTCTGCCTTCTACTCACCGGACCACCGCCTCAACTGCCGCCACCGCAACTGCGTCGAGACCGCCGCCGTTCGCTACAACTGCCGTCCAACGCCGCCGGTCTAGTCTTCGCCGTCATCCTCAAACAGCCGTCCGCCGCTTCAGTCGCCATCACGGTTATGTTCTCAACTTCTTTTTTTTCGTATTTTTATAATTAATTATAAATTTTTTAAAATTTTAAAAAATGCATGTTTTGTTATTATTGTAATTAAAATGCATGCTCTATTTGTTTAATATACCCGAATGCATGATGTTTAATACACCCGAATGCATGAATGTTTTTAGGCTAATTTGCATGTTAAATGTTGATAAAATTTATTTTTTGTTTTTAGTTTAATGATTAATATGCATGCTTAATAGTAGTTTGATACAATTTTATTTTTTTGGTTTATATGTTTAATACTCATGGTTAATCTCGAAATAAACTTTTCTTATATTTACATGATTTATATGTTTAATATATGTTTAATATGCATGACTTATATGTTAAATATGTTTAATATGCATGACTTTAAATTTAATTCCTGAAAATAATTAATTTATGAAAATATTTAAAAAAAACTGTTTAAATTGCATGAAACTGTTTAATTTATGATGTTTAATATATAAGTTTAGTGTTTAATGTGCATGCCTATATATAGTTGTAGAAAAAATTGTTTACCCGAAATATATGCCTATTTAGTGTTTAACCCGAAATATTAAAAAAAAATTGCCCCCTCATGTTAAGCTTGCAAAAAGGTTATCATGTTTAATTATAATTTTACAAATTTTAAAATAAACATAACATAAGCTGTTTTTCTTATGAATTTAATATTCCCGAATTATTTAAAAAATATCTCCTTGTTAATCTTCAAAAAAAGTTTAAAACTGTTTTTAAAAAATTTTCCCTATTATTTAAAAAATATTCCCGATTTTTTTTATGTTAAACATAAAAAAGTATACTGTTTTTTATAAACAGTTTTTATAAGTATAAAAGGTAAAAAACTGGATAAAACACAGTTTTATAATTATTTAAAAAATTATAAAACATATTTTTAAAAACTGGATATAAAAACTGATTTTTATAGCAGTTTTTATACCAAAAATTGTAAACTGATTTTTTTTTAAACTATAAAACTGATTTTTCTAAAAAAAGTAGACTATTAGACTGTTTTGTAAATAGTTTAACAGTTTTTCTAAAAACTTATTTTTATATAAATTGATTAATGAAAAAAGTAATTATTGAAAAGAATTTTGTAAAAACAGTTTTTTGTAAAAACTGATTAATGAACACATTTGTTAAAAACAGTTTTTATTATATAAAAACTGTTTTCTGAAAAAAAGTATACTGTTTTTATGAAAAAGTATACTGTTTTTATAGAAAACAGTTTTTATAAAAACTGTTTTTTATTAAAATAAATATACTGTTTGTATAAAAAAGTATACTGTTTTTCTAGAAAACAGTTTTTATAAAAACTGTTTTTTATAAAAATAAGTATACTGTTTTTTTTTTAAAAGTATATTGTTTTTCTTCAAAAAAGAGTTTTTATAAAAAAAGTATACTGTTTTTATAATATGTTAATGTATTAATAAACTGTTTTAAATAAGTAAACAATTTTTTTTATTAACTTTTTTTTGTAAAAAACTGTTGTTACAAACTGTGTTTTTTTTTACAAACTGTTTTTACATAAAAACCTTTTTTAATAAACTGTTTTTGAAAAAAAAAGTATACTGTTTTTATAATTTTTTTGAAAACTACAAAACTGTCTGTAAAAACTGGAAATAAACAGTTTTATATTAAAACTGTTTTTATAGAAACTGTTTTATAAAAAACTCATATATCCAAATCATAAAAATAAATTATGTCCTCTCATGTAAATTTTGCAAAAAGTTTAACATGTTACCTCTAAGTGCAATTTATTTCCAAGTCATAAAAAATTAATTGAAAAAATATGAACCCCTCATATTAAACTTATGCACAGTTTAATATGTTATACACATTTTGAATTGATAATACTTATATAAAAATTTGATCTTCTATTATGATCACACTAACATCAAACAAAATAAATTAAACTATTTTAGATGAGCAATGAACAATCCACCTCCCGTGCCCGCCCAAACTATGCGCCCATGTCCGAAGCTGAGTGCAACAATGAAAATGCGGTTTGGGTGACACCTCACGGCGTTGCTAAGTAAGTAACTATGAACAAACCTTATGTCACATAATTTTATATAATGTCAAATCATCTAACCAAATCTTATATAAATAAATACTACTCCCTCCGTCCCATCAGACTTTGCCAATTTTCCTTTTTTACTTGTTCCAAAAAACTTTGCCACTTTCCTATTAAAGCAACTAATTTGTGGTTTTGCACATTTCTCTCTCCTCTGCACAAATTTCAACCACACAGTTTTTACTATTCTTATTTCTCACCTAATTTGCACTTGGCAAAGTCTACCGGGACGGAGGTAGTATTAATTTTTTGAAGCGAAAAAGCAGTGTTCAAAGCCTTAAAAAACATAATTAGAGGACACTTTCATGGGAATTGGGCTTGCTACATGGATGTTGACCCCAAGGTCCGCGAACTATGGTGGAACCTGTTCAAGGTAAAAATAAATGAATGTTCCCTGCTTAATTGTATTAGCCTAATATTAATAAATGATTAAGCAATCCAGTTTTTTTTTAATAAAGGGTCGCTTTCGATGGACTCAAGCGCACGGTCCCGACATTCTTAGAGCCTATAATGCTAGGATTTTGGCCTGGCTTCGGCCCACTTTTAGGCGTGCCCGTGAGCGTGCGGAGCAGTCCGAAACCGCGTGGACCCCGCAGATTTTCTTGTTGCTGATGATAATGATGCATATGATCATGAAAATACTAGTTTTTATCATAATGGAGTCCGACGACCGAACATGTAATAATAACACATTTATTAGTTTAACATTTCATATTACTTTTATCATTCCAGTCTGTAATAATTTTTATTAAGTTTGTTATCTGTATGCATGCATTCTGTCTTTTATTTAATGTTGTAATTGTTTTTTTAAATGTAATCTTTTCTTAAAAATTTACATTTTAAAGAAATTTAAAAAATTACATTTTTTAAAAAGCGTTTTTTAAAAAAAAGGAAAAACTTTTTTTAAAAAAACCAAAAAACTTAGTCACGGATCTGAGCCGTGACTAAGTTTTTAGTCCGGATTTTTTATTAGTTTAAAATTTATTTATTTTTTAAAAAACATTAGTCACATATTCGTGACCGTGACTAATATGAAATTTGAAAAATTTGAAAATGCGAACCGTGGGGTTTTTGATATTTCAAAATTTAAAACGGTAGTCACGGAAATTGCCGTGACTAAATTGGGCGAATTAAAAAAAAAAATTAATAGTCACGGACAAGTCCGTGACTAATAAAATATAAAAAAAAGTAATCACGGATCTTAGCCGTGACTAAAGTGCCGGAGCAGCTATTCCGGAGACATTTTAGCCACGGATCTGATCCGTGACTAAATTTAATCACGGAAAATTTGGTGTGACTAAATTTAGTCACGCCCAAACAATTACGGACTTAGTCACGGACAAAATCCGTGACTAACACTGGTAGTCACGGATTATTTACACTGCGGTCTGTGACTAAATCCGTGCCTACGACTTATTTTTTTTGTAGTGATCATTAGTTTCCCACTTAGGGAATCTTATTATCGAGCATTCATTATAGGTCAAGGTTTCTATTGAGACGCTAGTGTTAAGAATAGTGTACAATAATCAAACATGGCTCATTGTACATTTTGTTTCCTCCGGCAGGTTATGAAAAACTCTATTGCTTTAGGTTACTTTAATCACTCATTCGATCGT